AGAAAAGATACAATGGATTAAGGGAAAGAATAAATATATATGTATATAAAACACAGCACAAAAATAGACAATCCAATATAAAAAAAAAATTAACAGCAAAATTACACATTTTACAAAAAAAAAAAAAAGATACAACTACTCCACTCAAGAAGTCTTCTGCAGCTGCAGTGGTTCACTACTTAATGAACCGGATACGGTACCGTACAGGTGACACGTTTGCCTGTATGTATATGTGGATAGAGGGAAGGAAAGAAAAGAGTCGTATAGTGTGAGGGGGAGAAGTGTGGCAAGTCAGTCCCGTGCGTATGGTAGGTAGCTTGGTGCACGGAGGTCTAAGTCACATTGTGGTCATACAAATGCCTCGATGGTTCACATCACATGGCCACTCAAACAAACAGAGAAAGAAATATATAAATAGATAGTTAGAGGAGGGGGCATAGCTCACCGGCTATAACGGCCGCATGTCAACTACAGGACAAACAACAACAACTAATAAATAAAAAGTGAAAAAAAAAAAAGCAAGAACACAAAGAGCAGTGCAAACGCAACATCTACACAGACACACACAGGAAAAGCAGCGCAGTACAGGAAGCAGAAAAGAGAATAAGGGGAAAGAAAACAAGAAGAAATATTCCCCCATCAGGTGCAGAACAAACCACACCAATGTGACTGCATTCCACAGTCACACAGACGTGTCTCTTACCAAACACCAACACAATTAAAACCCGTGTATATATATAAAAATATATAAAAATAGAAAAGAACAAAAAATTATTTCACTCCCTCTTTGGGAGCCTGCATCACCCAATAAGTACATTTGGTACAAACGAGCATGCAGTCAAATGCCCAACAATATAGTTACACTGAGGGAAGGGGAGACAAACAAAACAAAACGAAAAAAAAACCTACACAGTGAATTCAATTACAACAAAAAAACAAGCACACACAAGAGAGGGGAAAGTATATATATATATATATCAATAGCTCTGCAGATGGCTGCGCACACTCGCAGGTGCAGCACAACAGTCCA